CACACACACACACACACACACAAAGGCACAGCCCTCCCTTTCAGCCTCCTGGCCAAGACGGAATCCACACTGTCCTCCATTTGGAGGAGGGGGTAACTAGAAGTCCTCCTTTTCCAGGACGTGCCCTCCCTCTCAGCCTTCCCAAGGGCCTAGCATGACTCAAAAGGACAGGCAGGGTGACCAGACGTCCTCCTTTTCCAGACCGCGTCCTCCATTTCAGCCCAAAAGCATCCCAAAAGGTCCTCCACGTTGAGCAGAAGACGCGCATTCAAGGTGTCCAGAAGTCCTTCTTTTCCAAAGGTCCTCCATTTCTTTTTTCCATGTCCTACTTTTCAACTTTCTGTCCAAGAGGAATGCTTAAGGAGGACATTCAGGGGCCGGAGGTCCTCCTTTTCCAGGACCTGTCCTGCCTTTCAGCCTTCTGCCCAGGAGTAGTGGGTAGAGAGAGAGATCTTGGAGTCAGTCCCTTGGAGACTCACTGAGAGAAAGAAGTGGGCAGCCTGAGCTTTCCTTTCCTAGACTTCAGTCTACTTCCTCAGATGCATTTGGTGAAATAGGATCAGAGGAGAAAGTAGACTGAGGGCTAGGAAAGCTCATGCTGCCCACTGCTTTCTTTCAAAGGTGCTACAAGATCTCTCTGCATACTGATTTTACAAACTAACATGGCTATATCTGAATTCTGTACAGGAGGAATTCCTAAAGGCCCTCCATGTTGAGCATGGCGAAGGAGGACATTCAGGGTGACCAGGAGACTACCTTTTTCCAGGACATTTCCTACATTTAAGCCTTCTGTCCAGGAGGAATTCCAGAATATCTTCTATTTTGAGCATGGCGAAGAAGGACATTCAGGATGACTAGACGTCCTCCTTTTCCAGGACACATCCTCCATTTCCACCTTCTGTCCAGGAGGAATTCCAAAATGTTCTTCATTTAGAACACGGCTAAGAAGTACATTCAGGGTGACTAGACCTTCTCCTTCTCCTTTTTCCATATCTGCCTTTCAACCTTCTGTCTAGGAGGAATTCCAAACTGTCCTCCATTTTGGGCAGGACTGAAAAGGACATTCAGGGTGACCAGGTGTCATCCTTTTCTAGGACATGTCCTCTATTCCAGCCTTCTGTCCAGGAGGAATTCCAAAAGGTCCTCCATTTGGAGCTGGACTAAGAAGCATATTCAGGGTGACTAGAAGTCCTCCTTTTCCTTTTTCCATGACCTACCTTTCAACTTTCTGTCCAGGAGGAATTCCAAAAGGTCCTCTATTTAGAGCTGGACTAAGAAGCACCTTCAGGGTGAGCATGATTAAGGAGGATATTCAGGGTGAACAGAGGCCCTCCTTTTCCAGGACGCATCCTCCTTCCCAACTTTCTGTCCAGGACAAATTCCAAATGTCTTTCCTTTTGAGCACGACTAAGAAGCTTCTGTATACATACATATCCTACTTCTATGAGTGTTTTTGCTTTTCATTGGGTCATGTCCTCCATTTTGCTTGAATGTCCCACTTTATAGTTCCTTGTCCTTTTGTCCAGGAGGAATGCCAAAATGTCCTCCTGGGGAGGACATTCAAGAAAAATGGAGGACATTCCCGAAAAGAAATCAACGCTTCTTAATCCTGTTGAAAACAGAAGACATTTGGACAGAAGGCTGAAATGTAGGACAGGTGTAAGGTGACCAGATATCCTTACCACCAAAGGAGGGCAGCCAACTAAATGCAAAAACAACAACAACATGTTGCAAGCTATCAAAGCTCCACTGGCTTCTTCATCAGGTAAAGAGGTTTTAAATACTGTAATTTGTTGTTGTTATGTGCCTTCAAGTTGTTTGTGACTTATGGCAACACCATCATGGGGTTTTCTTGGCAAAAATTTTTCAGTGAGGGCTTGCCATTGCCTTCTTCTGAGGCTGAGACAGTGTGACTCGCCTAAGGTTACTCAGCAGGATGGCCCTGCGGTTGTTTGTTTGATTTAAGGTTGTTTTATGAATTGATGATGATGATGATGATGATTTGTTGATGACGTGTCCTACATTTTCAGTCCCCTGTGCAGGAGGGAGAGGGATTTCCCAAATGACCTTCATTTGGGGCATGTGCATTTATCTATGAGTGGGTTTTGTTTTTGTTTTGTTTTGTTTGTTTTTAAAAAAGCTTTTGTCTTGTTGTGTCCTACATTTTTTTCTTGCAGTTTTGGTACTTTGCTGTATTTCAGTTAATACGTTTTTTTAAATTGGATGATGAAATGAAAAAAAAAAATCTGAAAAATATATATATATCTCGATAACCACACTGTCTCTTTTCCTCTGTTTTATTAGCCTAGCATAGTGGTTTGGTTTGGGTCTCAGACATAGGAGACCAGAGTTTGAATCCCTGCTTGGCCATGGAAATCTTGTTTTTGAGAAACAATGTTGACTTTTAGTGATTATGGCATTCCCTTCTAAATGTTCACAGACTCTCTGTTTAATGAACTGTTCTAGAATCTTTCCTTGGATTGATGTCAGACTAACTGGACGATAGTTGTTAGGATCCTCTTTTTCCCCTTTTGAAGATTGGTACAATGTTTGCCCTTCTCCAGTCTGCTGGGACTTCTCCTGTTCTC